AAAGCCTGGGTCTCCCACCTGGGTGGCAGGTACCCAGGTACTTGGTTCCTCTTTCACTGCCTCCCAGGCACATCAGCTGGAAGCTGGATCAGAAGCAGAGGTGGGGCTTGATCCCTGCTGCTCTGGACAAGGGGTGTGGGTGTACCAAGCAGAGGGTTAGCCCGCTCTGGACAAGGGGTGTGGGTGTACCACGCAGAGGGTTAGCCCACTGTGCCCAGTGCCGACCCCAGGGCTGCGTGTGTGTCGCTCCAGCATGTGCTCAGTGTCTCACGTGGCAGCTGGCATGTAGTAGGTGTGGCCTGAGTGTTTGTTGAATGAACACACGACCAACTTGAATCCATGAAGTGAGAGGTGGTTGGGTCTGAGGTCCCTTCAACACTTTACAGGGCTCAGCGGTTTCTTCACACGCATTGATTCTGCTTCACACTGGTTCTGCAGGGCCTGTGGGCAGGTTTGGGTGTGCAAAGCGGGAAATAGAAGCCCAGAAGGGTCACACGAGTTGTCCAGGAGGAGCCTGGGAGGAGCTGAGGGCCATCCAGCCTCTGTGAGGGCTTCAGGCCACACCCAGACCACAGCAAGGTGCGGGTTCCACTAGACACAAGTGAGATAAGGAAGCAGGGCTTCACTGGACACAGGTACTTGCAGTGGTTGCCCTTGGCTTTTAGGTATAACTGGATTTGAGGAGTTGAGTTCGGTTTGGAGCGATGGGCTTAGGGAGTCTCCAGCGAGTCCTGGTCTTTCTCGCCAGTGACTGCAGTGTAGTGATTATCGGCGCGTGTTCTGATTGGCTGGTAACCAGGATTACGCTTGGGTTCTTTTTGGGGAGCTTGTTGATAGGAGGGGAGTTGCTCGCCGGCTGATGGGCTGCGTTGTTCACTGTTTCCAGAAGATGCTTCAGTTCCCTTCTCTGCTGCAGGCGCCCATGCGGTGAGCACCTGCGGGCTCTGTGCTCATGGTCTGCGCTGAGAGTCTGCCCGCCCCACTTCAGCTGAGAGCCCAGCTGCTGCCAGGGGTTCACGCCCAGGTGCCCTGACTGCCCACCCGGCAGAGCCCATGGGCTTGAGCACATCCCTCTGCGCGTGCGGTCCAGCAGCCCCCTGCAGGCTGAGTACCGGGGCTGAGTCACGTCCATAGTGAAGCATTGACCTCGGGTGCGAGCCTCCGCCTTGAGATCTTCCGTGGGACCCATAATGCGACGGCATGGCAACGGGGAGCAGACCCTCCTTGGGCGACAGCTCTGGCAGCTAGTCCGGGGTTGGCGTCTGCATACAAAAAGCGCATCTCGCGACCTGTTGGCACCATCACAGTCTTAGGGGGCTTCTTCCAGGCGGAGAGAGACTCGCGGAGCCCAGGCTTATCCGTGTAGCTGGGAGGAAGTACTTGTGTGGCAGAGACCAGCAGCCAGGTGCTGTAGAAAGATCCGTGCGCAGGAGCCAGCGTGCCAGAGGTGTCAGCTGGCTTGGAGAAGCCTGCTTCCAAGTATGTGGGACATCCCCAGTGTGTGTGCGTCCTCTCCTCAGTAGGACAGCCCACCATGCTGCTCTTATTTTTTTTTCTTTTAAAGATTTATTTATTTGTTTGAGAGAATTACAGACAAAGAGAGTGAGAGACAGAGAGAGAGGTCTTTAATCCACTGGTTCACTCCCCAAATGGCTGCAATGGCTGCAACTGAGCCAATCCAAAGCCAGGAGCTTCTTCCAGGTCTTCCATGTGGGTGCAGGGGCCCAAGCCTTTGGGCCATCTTCCACTGCTTTCCCAGGTGCATTTGCAGAGGGCCAGATTGGAGGAGCACCCGGGACTTTAACAGGTACTCATATAGGATGCCAGCACCACAGGCAGAGGCATAGCCTACTATGCCACAGTGCCGGCTCCCAGCCCCAGTTTTAAGATCTAAGATTGAGGTTGGCTCTGTGGCGTAGTGGGTGAAGCTGCTGCCTGCAGTGCCGGCATCCCATATGGGCGCTGGTTCGAGACCTGGCTGTTCCACTTCTGATCCAGCTCTCTGCTATGGCCTGGGAAAGCAGTAGAAGATGGCCCAAGTCCTTGGGCCCCTGTGTGGGAGACCCGGGAAGAAGCTCTTGGCTCCTGGCTTCAGATTGGCGCAGCTCCAGCCGTTGCAGCCAATGGGGAGTGAACCAGTGGATGGAAGACCTCTCTCTCTCTCTCTCTCTCTCTCTCCCTGCCTCTCTTTTTTTCTCTGTATAACTCTGACTTTCAAATAAATAAATAAATCTAAAAAAAAAAATCTAAGATTGTGAGGCTTGGCTCAGAGTAAAGCCCGATGACATCATAGGATTGTTCCAACAGTTGAAGGTAGCCTTCTTCCTTGTCCTCACCTGTTCGGCTAGACCTTCATGCCTGCTAGTTTGTCCGTCCATCTGTCCGCCCACTGAATGGCAGTACTGTGCTGATGGCAGCCACGGAGGTGGAAGAGGACCAGTCTGGTCCTCACTGTCTTTTATCCTCTGGTCTGGCGGCCAACTTATATCAGGGCAGAAACAGTCATGGCCACAGAGTGGGAAGAGACCATAAGTGGAATGGGTTCACCTGCTGGGAGGCTCAGACCAGCTCCGGAGGAAGGAGCCTTCAGGCTGGCCCCCGAAGGATGGGTGGGTGTCAGTCTGGAGGGGGTGGCAGCCGCGTGCGCGGTGAACTCAGAACATTCCGGGAGGTGTCTGCACCCGCCGGCGTTCCTCCCCTGCACCCTGTGCGGATCCCTGACACAGTGCAGTCGCCGGCTCTTCTTTGTCAGGACTCCCAGCTGTCACCAGAAGGCCTGTTGCTGTTTCCGAGGTTACGGCGGGCCTTGTTTTTACTGCTTGCAAGATCGGCGGCTTGCTTTGCTTCTCAGCGGGTGGAACGAACACCTTGATCTCATTAGTGGTTTTAAGCAGTAAGTAAAAGTTTACCAAGCGTGTAACTGTGCTTGACACTAGTCCCTGCCCTCAGGAGCTCACAGATGTGACAGATGGGAGAAGATAAATGGGGCTCACACACAGGAGGGAGCCAGCCATGGCCCTGCGCTCACGGGTGTCCGGCGTGGAAACGGCGCTCACTTGGCTGCCGAGGCTCGCCGGGTCAGGCTGCACACCTTCCTGTTTCCCAGGAGGAGACGGCTGCAGGCAGGGAGAGAGACCGGACAGAGGTGCGGGAGCAAGAGTGAGCCTCTCGTGTCTCCGAGAAGGGGAGCAGGTGCGGCACTGGGGGGCTGGGTTGGTGGTGGGGGTCCGAGGAGGGGTTGGCGGGAGATGAGCTTAGCAGGGAGCTTTGGGGTCAGCTCGCAGGGGCTTGCAGTGCTGCTTAGGGGTTCGGGTGTTGCCCTGTGATCGGTGGGGACTTGCTCAAGAGTTAGGAGAGGAGACCAACAGCATCACCTGGGGGAGTGGACTGGGTGGCAGTCCAGATGTGACAGGGTGGCTCCTGCACGTGGCCATGGGGGAGACGGAGAAGGCAGGTTCCAAAGTGGTGAGGTGGCCTTTCTCCGTGACAATTGGTGTGTGGCGTGGTGGGAGAGGCCAGGATCTCTTGTTTGGGTGACGTGGGATGGCGGGGGCCAGGCTCCAGGGTGTGGAGCATGAGGGGGTTGGGGTGAGGAAGGTGGTGGGGTTTGTGCTGGCTGTTTGAGTTTGGGGGTCTGTGGGACAGCTCGGTGGGGCTCTCCCTTTGGTGGGTGGCCTGCGGGTCTGCATCTAGAGGGGCCTGAGCTGGGGCAGTCGTCCTCATGCGTTGGGGCATCACAGTCGCCTTGGTGTGAGCCACCCCAGTGATTGCACGCGTGGTCCCTGCCGTCCTGCCCGTGAGCGGCAGAGAGAAGCCTCCTGTGGAATCTCCGGAACTCAGGGGTGGGGTCTCAGGGTTAGAGTAGTGAGATCTGCCCAGGCCACTGGTGGGGGCAGCAGGGGCCCCTCATTGGTGAGAGTGGAAGTCTGTGCCCCGCTGAGTCTCAGTGCCTGACAGATGGGCTTATGGAAGCCAGTGAGGAAGGAGCTTTGATGTGTGAGGGCCGCTAGGAGACTGTTCCAGGGCCTACCTGGCGGCGCGGCTGTGGGGTGCGGGTTCCAGGGTCTGCTGTGGACACGCCAGCCCCTTGGGTGAAATGGCATAGTGTTTGCAGTAGCCCTCGCACCTTCTCCGGTGTCCTTTACAGTATCTGCGTGACGGAACACCTAGTCCAGTAGTTGATGTGCTGTATCGGTCAGGGACCAAGGACGAGAAACCGCCCGCACGTGTCCAGCGCAGCAGGGTTCCCGGCTGTCTTGGATCCATGAGCGGTTGAGTGCCTGGATGCAGAACCCAGAGACAGGGAGGGTTGACCCTTTCACCCCGAGCACAAAGGCCAGAGGGCAGGACAGGGGCCAAGACCCAGTCGCCACTGACCCTGGTGCTGAAAGCCACAGCTGAGGAGTGAGGGGACTCGAGGGGACCCAGGGCAGTGGCAGAGCTGGCCTCCTTGGCGTGGAGGACAGGAAGGAAGAAGAGAGATTCGCATTGGCTGAGCTGCGAGACCCACATGCTTGGGCAAAGAGACCGGCAGAGGCGGGGAGATGGAGACAGTGGAGGTGGGGCGATGGGGCTGTGTGCGCCAGGCCAGGAGGTACAGTGTTGCTCAGCTCCTGTGGAGCAGGACGCACAGACACGGTCTGGGACAGGGTCGAGATGGAGCTGGGTTCAAATCCCACCTTGGCCAGAGCACTCACCGCCGCTGGTTGGCCGTGAGGTCCTGGGGGAGTTGTGGGGCCGCCTGGGGTCTCTGCTGTCATTTCCAGTGGGTGTGATGACGACGCCCACTTAGGGAATTGCCGCAGGGAGTCTGAGTTCCGTGACGTGGGTGATGGGCTGAGAAGGGGTCTCCTTGGCTGTGGTGAGAGGTGGGGGACAGAGTGGCGTTCACCCAACTTGAGTGGTGCTGGGACGCCCTCTCCTACCTGCCGGCGGATTTAGCAGGTGCCGAGCAGAGTGGCTTTGGGGTTATTTACCCAGTGCTTGTTGTTTCTCTCCAGAGTTCCGTTTTCGTGACCAGCCTTGTGCATGTGTGTTGAGTGGACAGGACGAGGCAACCAGCCAGTCGGTCCCTGCTGATGATGCTGTTATCTGCAAACGCAGGAAGGACCTAACGCCTGCCATTCCAGCGAGATGCTCCGCAAAACTTGTGAAACACGATGTTTGTCTAGAAAAATAAGTCAGTGAAAATTAAGATTATTTTTCTTTTGAAAAACAGTGAAACCGCCTTCCTTCGATGGATTCCTGTTCAGCCCAGCGCGTGTTTGAGCCGCCTGCTGTGTGTAAGCCGGTGCTGGAAGGTTTGTGGAGGGCGTGTGAGATGGCGGCTGTGCTGCCTTTTACCACTGTCCCCCTGAGAGAGCCCCTTCTGCAGGTTGGGCTTGAGTGAGCAAAGGCGGGAAGAAGGCAGACGTTTGTCCTGTGTGAGAAGTCGGGGCGATCAGCTCAGAGCGTGGGTGGAGCCTGCTGTGCTCAGGGACACCAGGTCCCTCCCAAGCGCGCCCAGCCTCTCCACCTGTTCCCGACCCTTGAGGACTGCTTTCTAGAGATTCCGCACGACGCCTCTTACATCTCACTGGGCTGAAGTCGGTCTTAGGGCCGCACCCAGCAGTAAGGGGAGCTGGGGAAGATGGCCGTGTTCAGGGTAGTCCTGTATCCACCTACAAACCGGGAGTTCTGTTGCTGACGAGGAAGGGGATGGCACTGGGGGCCTCATGTGGTGGGTGTGGCCTGGGAGTAGTTGCGATTTTGCCCAGCGTTACGTGGACTCTGAGGGCTGAGCCCTCGAAGTCCTTATGAAGCACTAATTGATCCTAACTGGTGCTTGGGTAGAAGCAGAAAGACGTGAATAGAACAGAAGAGACGGAGCTGCCGACTGGCTTGGGAGCTTCGTCCAGGAGACGTCAGACCTTGCAGCTGCAGGGGCCTGGCCGGTTGTTTTTATGTCGTTGGGGTAATGGGATATCCACGCTGAAGATAACTGGTAAGCGTCGCCGGATACCGCAGCAGATTCCGAATGGGTTTGGGTTAAAGAACAGAAAACAGTTGGGTGGGGGGTGTGGGTGTTTGTCCTAGTGGTTAGGACACCCGCATCCCATGCTGGGGGCCCGGGTTTGATGCCTGGCTCTGGCTCCTGACTCCAGCTTCCTGCTGATGTGGACCCTGGAGGAGTGGTGATGGCCCAGGTCATTGGGTTCCCGCCCCCACGTGGGAGACCTGGACTAAGTTCCTGGCTCCCAGCTTCAGCTGCAGCCCAGTCCCGGCCATTCTGGGCATGTGAGAAGTGAGTTCTTTCTCTCTCTCTGAAATAAGTACTTTTTTAAGAATGGGAGGGTGTAAACTACACTTTATATTGGGTTCTCGGGGTGGGGGCACAGGGCCAGCAGATCCTGGGAGGGAGAACTTTCTGCTTTAGGTTTCTCTGAGAGTTTAACTCCTGAGCGAGCTGGGGCTCCGCTCGTGGCCACAGCTTCCGCGTGTGCGGGAATCTGCTTCTTGTCACTTACCTGAGATACCCGAGGGGTGTTCCTTCTTGGGCAGGAAGGAGCTTTGCTTTGGCTTCCAGGTTGGAGTTCACAGCCTGAGATGGCACAGTAGTGTTGGGCGTGTGATGTGGAACACACGTGCAGAGGGGGTCACGTGACGAGCCGGGACCTGGAGAGGGGCTGGGAGCGTGCCCGGCTTAGGCAGCCAAGCCCTCGTGAGCGCTGCCTTCTGCGAGCGCACCCCAGTGACCTGAGACCTCCCTTCCCCAGGTCTACCTCCCGGAGGCCCTCGCCAGGTCAGGGGTCCCCCCTTAATCCGTTAGTGCTGATCCATTAGAAGACTCCGGGGTTTAAATGCCTGTGTGAGTTTGGGGGGCAGTCTTGTTCAGCCTGTAACAGCGTGCATGTCTGTGCCCCCACCCGCACATCCCAGGGGGACGATACTGTGGGCCCTGCTGTTTCATGGCCGCGGACCCTGAGCTGGGGGACCTGGGCTTCATAGCAAGCAGCAAGCAGACCAGCTCCTGCGCCTGAGGCAGGCAGGACGTCCTCCCCCGGGGCTGCAGACACTGAGATGTGGCTGGGGTCCAGGGCGCCCCCTCTTGTGCTCTTGGCATAGCCAGTGAGATGCGTGGGAGCGCTGGGGCCGGGGGGGGGGACTGGGTCCCCCAAGAGGAGGCTGTCAGGAATCAGTGAGGTGATGCAGGAGGCGCCTGGGCCGTGTCGTCATGGTAACGCCGTGGGCTGGGGTCCTGAGGCCTGCCACGGCGTGGGCAGTCAGCGGCTTCTCTGCCTGGTTTCAGTGTTCGGACGACTGAAGGAGCCCTCGCAGCTGCCTGGGTGTAGCGCCTGCCGTCTCGTGCACGTCCCTGGGGCGCGGACTCCGCCAGCTCCGGGTAAATCATGCACACTCCCGCTCTTCCTGCGTGTCCTCAGGTGCAGCTTGCTTCTTGAGTCTCACGTTTGTGATTGGCCTACTTGGAAGCGCAGTGCAGCGAGTCTCTAAGGAAGTGGGGTATTAACTTGTTTATATGTGCACTCAGCAAATTCCTTGCCAACTGGCTCCGTGCGAATGGAACTTGAAATCCACATGATGCATCAAGTCAACGTAAAAAGGCGAGCACAGGATGTCTAAAGGTGAACTCAGCTTCCCTGGTTTATGGAAGAGGAAACTGAGACGGCACGTTTGCTCGCGGGAAGTCGCAGGTGATGAGTGGCGGGCTTGGTGCTGGACCTCAGCCCCCGGCCCCGGCCAGGAAGCCTGGAATCCACGGAGACAGCAGAGGAGACCAGAGGGACACCCCGGCACTGTTCTGGGATGTGTGTCAGGCCAGGATGCGTCTGTCCTCATCTGAAAAGGAACAGTTGGAAGAGCTGACACCAGAGAGGGTGCGCTGACACCACTCAGCACATTGAGGAAGAGGAGGAGGAAGAAGGCTCGAGCAATGGAGGAAGAGCTTTTGGAAAAAGCAAAGTGGATCTCGTATCATCAGCTTTGTGCTCTCAAAATTTGCAGATGCCGAGAAGGATGAGCTAAGACAGCAGACGGGGACCCAAAAGGAGCTCATGGATTTGGCGCTAGAAGGCAGAGCGTGTCCTGCGCGCGTTCACAGCGAGCCAGGGTGGGGGTGGGCGTTGGGCCCCGTGGCTCAGTGGTTGAGATGCCCACAGCTCACGATGGAGTGCCTGCATTCCATGCCTGCCGCTGGCTCCCTGCCAGCAGCTCCCTGCTGGTGCAGACCCTGGGAGGTGTCACCCAGAGGTGACAGCTGAGCTGCTGGGTTCCCGTCACCCGCATGGGAGGCCTGGATTGCATTCCCAGCTCCTGGCTCTTCAGCCTGGCCCAATCCTGGCTGTTGTGGGCATGTGGGGAGTGAACAGGTAGAAACACTTTCTTTTTTATTCTCTCTCTCTGTCTCTCAAATAAATACATTTTTAAAATTAAAAAAAAAAATTGAGCCATGTGGAAGGTCCAGGGGTCAGGAGGAGGATGGACTGGCTGACCGGTGTGGGTGCTGAGGCCCTGGCGATGGACAAGACCGGTCCAGCATGTGGGCCCTGGAGGTTGCAGCTGGGGGCACGGCAAGAGGAACAGAGGATTTGCCTGTGCAGATTACAAGGGCTTCTCACAGACCAGGCAAAGCCAGTGAAGGTTAATTCAAGATCTAAGTGTCCAGGAGAAGGTTTTCAATGTGTCAAGAGAAGATCCTAGGAGCATCCAGGCAGCAGGAAGCTTCTAGTCACAGAAGGAATGCAGCCGTCTACACTGTCAGCTCCGGGGGCCGGGCAGCAGCACACCCATCGAGGGTTTGGAGAAAAGGGAGGGACCCAAGAATCTTATACCCAGCTTAGTGTGGTTCCCACTTGACAGGGGCAGAAGTTCGCTTCTGTCACACAAGGACACACACTGCACACTGTGTATTTTCGGCTCCACCCACACACTGTTCCTAGGGAAGGAACTTGAAGGAGCTTGGTCCAGAGAGATGAAGAAAATGTAAGATCCATGAATGAACAAGACAGGCTGTGATAAGGTAGGCACGGGTCATCAGCTGTTCAAGTGTAAAGTGGTTTCTGAGTGATTGTGATGGTGGCGGTGCTAATGACACAACAGGTTAAGCTGCCACCTGCAACCCTGACACCCCGTATCTGCATGCTGGTTCCATTCCTGCTGCTTTACCTCTGATCCAGCCCCCTGCAGATGTGCCTGGGAAGGCAGCTGAAGGTGGCCCAAACACCTGGGCCTCAGCCACCACGTGGGAGACTGGGTGGAGTCCTGGCCACTGAGGCCATTCGGCGAATGAACCGGCACGTGGAAGATCTCACTCTCTCTGTCTTTCCTTCTTCTCTCTGTCACTCTGCCTTTCAAATAAATAAATTAAAAAAGAAAACAGTTGTGATTATGATTATAAAGTAGTGCACAAGTGAAGCACCTAGAGATGTGAGAGCTGACATGACATTGAGACATGGGAGTGAAAAGAGGAACGGAACTGTGGCTCAGGTGAGAGCTGGTACAGGTGAACACGGTGCTGGGACCTGCTGAATGTGCGCGGGGAGGAGGTGAAAGCCTTCCGCGCCCTCCAGGGGCGTGGCCTGAGTCTCCTGGCTGACACATGCCATGCACGAGCGTCCTCTCCCTGGAGCCGCTTCTGTGGTCCGTTCTCTGGGCCCCATCTTTGAAACTGCCCTGGAGGGGTTGGCTTGGTGCCTTCTTCCTGCAGGGTGGCGCGTTGCCCACGATGCTCGTGGGACTGTAAGGTGGCGTGCCTGTTTGGGAAGACGGTTGACAGTTCCTCGGAAAGTCTAGCATCAGGTTGCCCTGTTTCCGCGCCGCTCTGTTCCTGGGGACGTGCCCCGAGAACTGAAGATGTGAGTCTGCACAGAAACATGCACATGCATGTTCATAGCGGCGTGTGTCACAGTGTTCAGAAACGGGGAGGGCAGGCACCTTGGCCAGGGTCAGACGGCAGCCGGATGCCCACATCCCACAGGAGTGCTTGTGTCGGAGCCCTGGCTCTGCTCCTGAGCGCACCCTGGGAAGCAGCAGGTGGTGGGGAAGGGACTGGGTTCCTGCCACCCACGTGGAAGGTCTGGCTTGAGTCCCTAGCTCCTCTGTGGCCTGAGCCAGGCCATTGTGGACATGTGGGGAGTGAACCAGTAGATGGGAGCTCTGTTGGTCTCTTCAATCACTCAAATAAATAAATAAATAAATAAATAAATAAAACTTTTAGAAAATGGAAACGAGACCAGCGCTGTGGCACAACAGTTGAAGCAGTGGCCTGCAGTGCCGGCGTCCCATATGGATGCTGGCGTGATTCCTGGCTGCTCCCTGATAATGCATCTGGGAAAGCAGAGGAAGATGGCCCAAGTGCTTGGACCCCTGCACCCACATGGGAGACCCGGAAGAGGCTCCTGGTTCCTGGCCTCAGTCTGGCCCAGCCCTAGCCATTGTGGCCATTTGGAGAGTGAAGATTGATCTCTCTGTCTCTCCTTTTCTCTCTAACTGCCTTTAAAGTAAATGAATAAATCTTTTTTAAAAAATGGAAACAATCCAAGTATCTTTCCATGATGAATGGTAGACAAAATGTGGTCTGTGTGCAGTAGAGTGTTGAGCCGTGCAGTTAAGTCCTGATTCATGCTGTAACACGGGTGATCCAGAAGCAGGGTGGGTGGCCCTTTTGGATATTTATGGCATCATCTGCAAGCCGTACAAAACGATCAGCGTAAACATTAGCCTGCTGTAGACTTAGTGAATTTCGAATCCTGTCTGTGGTTGCCATGTCGGGGCCAGACCAAATGGCTTTGTGGACCTCATACGGCCTGTGGGCCCGGCGTTCCCCTCCCCCTGTAAAACGAAAGATGCCGGACAGCAAAGGCCACACAGCGCACGATTCCACTTGTGCAAAAAATCCGGAAGAGGCAAATCCATGGAGACAAAAAGCAGATTAGGGGCTGCGAGGGCCAGGGCGGGGGATCCGGGAGAGACTGCTGAGGGCTGGGTTCAGGTTTGTTTCTGGGGTGGTGGAGCTGTTCTGGGATTGGTGGTGATGGTCGCACAGTTTTGCGATCGTGCCGAAACCCGTCAAGCGCTATGGTGAAGAAGGGCGAATTTTCTGTTATGTAAATGACGTCTCAGTTTTGGTAAACAGCCCTTTCTCATTGCTAAATGATACCTGTAGAGAAAATAAGAAAATAAAGGGAGCAAAAGCAGAAGCAGCCCTCATCCCGCTGTTAATCCGTGAGGTCTGAGCGTGCAGTCTCGCCTCCACGTGTCTGTCTCAGAGCTGGGCTGATGGAGAGTTGTCTGTCCTTTCTTTCCTGTCGGGCTTGACGAGTGGGATTGGCACAGGACACAGGCGTGTCCTTTCTGTTGGTGTTTCTGTGTCCCTCCCCTGGTTGGTGCCTGTGTCGGGAGCAGTGTTTTTGGTCCAAGCAGACAAGAGCCGTGGTCAGAAGACCCACTGCCTGCTCCAGCCCCTCTGGGTCCTGCTTCCTTGTCTTTGAAGGGGGTCGCAGCGCCGGCTCCGTGGTATCTTGCCTGTCAGGATGGCTGAAATGAAGACGTTACTAGGTGTTGGGGAGGTGGTGGAGCACCCAGAACTTCCCTCCCAGCTGGCGGGAGTGTGCATTGGCTCAGCCTCCGCGGAGCGCTGTTAGCATCATCCGCGTGCGGCTGTGCTCCGTGGTGCCAGTGCAGCTCCGAGACGGGCGTGAAGCAGTGCGCGCGATGCTCACGACAGCGCCATCGGCAGTGGCCCGTGCTAGAGAACGGGCCTGGTGTCCGTCAGCAGACTGGACAGGTGCGCGTGGTCACCCCACGGTGGGAACTGGAGGTGCTGAGAGTTCCCGAGCACAGTCCGGTGAAAACACCCGCACGGACTCGAGGAACAGTGTCCATTCAGACCCAGAAGGCTCGGGGCTGCGCAAGGACGCTTGGGTCAAGCGTGAGAACCGGCAGGACCACGCAGTGCAGCCAGGGAGGCAGGGCGCTGGAGGGGGCACAGGGCGGCGGCCAGGGGCTGCCGGTGATGGCCCACCTGGTGTGCGCACAGCTGCCTTGTGCTGTGACTCAGTGTCGCGTGCACTTCACTCACGCCACACTTCCACGGAAAATGTGTTGAAAGCACTAAGAGGCATCATCCATCTCAGTATTGTCACTAAAATGTTAATGAGGCTGAAAGATTTTTGTATTTATTATTGATGAATAAAATAATTTCATCTATAGGTCTTGAATATTCATATTTGTGTTACAGTGTATATGCATGTTGAAACATTAGGTTTTTTTAAAAGATAATTTTATTTATTTATTTATTTGAGAGGTAGAGTTATAGACAGTAAGAGGGAGAGACAAAAAGGTCTTCCTTCTGTTGGTTTACTCCCCAGATGGCTGCAACGGCTGGAGTTGCACTGATCTGAAGCCAAAAGCCAGAAGCCAGGAGCTTCTTCCAGGTCTCCCACATGGATGCAGGGGCCCAAGCACTTGGACCATCTTCCACTGCTTTCCCAGGCCATAGCAGAGAGCTGGACTGGAAGAGGAGCAGCCAGGACTAGAACTGGTGCCCATATGGGATGCCAGTGCCGCAGGCGGAGGATTAACCCACTGTGCCACAGCACTGGTCCCTACATTAGGGTTTACATTTAGTTTACAAGGAAACGTGTGTATGAGAGAACCTTCTGTCAGGTTCCAGGGGCCCAGGGGGAAGGGCCCAGGGGAGGCTCAGGAGCCCCGGGACTGGGAGGAGAGAAAGGATGACCAGGCCCCTGCCAGGGCGCAGCGCTGTTTCCAGAGGGAGGGGCTGGCAAGTTGCGTTCAAGGTTGCTGGGAGGTAGGAGAGCCCTGGCCACTGAGCCAATGTGACGAGGCCGTGGAGTCCCTGATGGCCACGGGAAGTGTGGCTGGGTGGTGAGGGAGTCAGCAGTGCCTAACAGCAGGGCAGCCTGGAGTTTGTGGGTCACAGCTGGGCCGAGATGGGGCGACTTACAGGTGTTCCTGGCCGAGGGGAGGGCCCAGCGCATGGGAGAGACAGTGTGCAGAAGGGGCCAGCTGCCCACAGGGCTCGGGCCCCTGCCCCGGGCAGCCCCAGCCCAGGCGTGAGGCAGAGGCTGCTTCCCCAGAGGGGGGAAGGGAGGGGCAGGCTCACGGAGGGCCCAGGGGGAGCTGAGGTGATGGACGCTGGGAGCCTGCCCACCTGAGTGTGCGCGGGTAGGGGTGAGGAGAGAGGGGCAGTGTCCGGCCACCCCGAGCCCCCTTCTTCCCCGGCGGTGCCTCAGGACGTTTCTCCTGGAGCTGTGTTGGTTCCCTGGACCAGCCTTCCCCAAAGCATCCTGGGAAGAGGGTCAGTTCCTGTGACTTTCAGAAAGGCTTTGCTAACCGATAGGCTCCTGGTGGTCCAGGTGTTGATTGTGTGACCAGCATTTGGTGTTTCCCAGGACGGGGAAGTCAGGCCTGGTAGCAGGGAGACTCGTCTGACCTGGCTGAGCTTTGCAGAGCAGGTCGTCTTTGCTCTTTAAAAATGTATTTGTTTGAAAGGCAGAGTGACAGAGAGAGGGGGAGAGACACACAGAGAAAGAGATCTTCAGTCTGCCATATCAATCCCCAAAGGTCTACCACAGCCAGGAGCCGGGAACCGCGTCCAGGTCTTGTGCATGGGTGGCAGGGACTCACGCGCTTGGGCCGTGGTCCACTGCCTCACAGGTGCATTAGCAGGGAGCTGGATCAGAAGCAGAGGAGCTGGGACTCAGACCAGCACTTCCACATGGGAGGCCAGGCTTGCAAGAGGCAGCTTACCCCGCTTCGTCACACACAGATGTCAGTCGTGTTGTTCCGCCTGCTTTTCTAGTGGCTGCTGTTTGCAAAGAACATGTGGGGATGGTGAGTCCTGGTGGTGGCGGTGTGTGCTCTCGGGAGCAGGCAGGAAGCCATGCCGTGCAGGTACCCCAGGTGCCTGCTGGGTACAGGGGAGCTGGAACCTGACGGGGCTGAGCGGCTGCAGGGTGGTTTTGGGGATGTGAGGCACCCTGAGTGAGCACAGGTTGGGGTGCATCAAGGGTTCTTCACCGGATCAAGCTCGGGGTGTCCCGCTCTCCTGTGCAGACCTCTTGTTGCTTGCCTGTCGGGCTCT